GAGTAGACCAGCTCTGAATCAGCTGGAACCTGTGCACCCAACCCTATCTTGCCCCGGGCCAGACACACCTGCCTATGCTGAGCGGTGGCAGCAGCAGCCAGGCAGAAACTGCTACTTGGCACAGGGGAAAAGTGGCCCCTCCCCTTCACTGCTGCTGGGTGCGGAGGGGGGGGGGTGCGTGTACAGGGGGGAGACGGTGCGCGTGCACACAAGCAGGAAGTCCCGTCCTCCCTCTGCTTCAGTTGCCCTTGAGGAGAGCAAGTGATAATGAGCCAATTGAGGAGGGCGGACTGGCCCCTTCCGACAGCCAATAGGAGACAAGCGGTCTCCATCCAGCAGCCAATCACCAAATCGCTATCTCCCTCCCCTCCCAGACTACATCCCTCCCTCCCCAGCGCCTGGCCTAGGGCACCTTCTCTCTTCGGGCTTTTGCGACGTGTCGCCCCACCACCCCTCCAGTTCCTCCCCGGGCCCTGCTTTACAGCAGTCTCCCTCCCTCCTCTCCCTTCTCACGCTGCGGGGGCGCGGCGGCGCTCAGCCAATGGGAAGCGAGCGCGGCCCGTGACGAAGGAGCTGCCCGGGCTGCGCGCGCCGGGGTGTCAGTGTAGCCGCGCCGCGGCGGGACAGGCAGTGCCGCGGGAGCAGCCCTTCCCCCCAGCACCTCCGCCATGGCTGGGGCGCTGGTGCGCAAGGCGGCGGACTACGTGCGGAGCAAGGACTTCAGGGACTATCTAATGAGGTGGGCGGCGAGGGGAACAAGCCCCTGCTTCCTTCCGGCGGTTGCGGGGGGTGCACATATGTGCATGTATAAACGTGCATATATGTGGGGGGGGGTATAGTGGGGGGTGTGTAGTGGGTGCATTTGTGTATATGTGTAATGTCTACATGTGTACATAAATACGTGTGTGTGTAGGGTATAGTGGGGGGTGTCAGGTATAGTGGGGGTGTGCATATGTGGTGTGGCTGCGCATGTATCGGTTATAGTGTGTGTAGTGTTGTGCACATACACACACTACACATGGCGGGGGGTGTAGCAGATCTTGAAAGCCTGAAGGAGGAAAAAAGAAATCTGGCAAGAAGCGCACTTCATGTATTGGTCCTGTTGGCTGTGTGGGTCCGTTAGTTGTAGTAGACCTGAACTCGGATCACTGAGGGTCAGCGTTGACCAGCCTGCCTGCAGTGCTGTGCCAGCCCGACCAAGCTGGTGCTGGCTGGGGAGAGGCTACAGATGGAACATCGCAACTTGCTTGCTGTCAAATACTGTAAGTTTGCAGTGTAGACAGGCCCTAAATATCTAATGCAGTGACACCTGGTCCTGACTGGCTCTGTAGCTACACGGTTTGTCATTGTTAACAACAGGCTGGCAACAACAAATGTGTCTTAAGCACATTGTGGCAAACATACTGCAGCTTAAAAGAGAGATCTTGAGTAAATTGTGGTTGATACCAATAGAGCTAGATAGTGCAGGTGTTAATCACTTTATTCATGACTGGAGAAAAGGCGTATTCCACTACAGATAGTATAAACCTGACCTTTTCTGCACAAAGCTACAAAAGAAAATTGAAAAGCCACTAGTGGCTTGGGATTTGTGGTTTGAGTGTGAGAACATACAGCAACGGTTCATTTGGATGAGCGTCCTGTCTCTCTGAAAATGTCTGAGTAGCATTTGAAAGTTTGATTAAGAACTTGCTAGCCAATTAGGAAACTTATAGCTGATTATTTTGTAACTGAGCCATCTAACTTAGTTGTCAGGTACTTCCTGCACCACTGATTGAAGCAATTAAAAAGATTCTAATCAAGTCATTTTCCAACTAGGGAATGGTATCCTGCAGGTAATGATGGAGTATTTCTCTGTTAGGAGAATAAGCTGGGATCCATTATCCAGGAACATAATTTAGTAATCTCCTGTAAGGTGAAACATTCTGCCACCGTCGCTTTGACGTTGTTCTGATGTCTGTGTCTCTTTTTTGGGCTGAACATTGTCGTAGAAGTCCCATGATGGATGTACTATAAATAGAAATCATCTTGTGTTAGCTATACTCCAGTCCTCTAAAGCATGAATTGTTTTATTAACAGTAGTTTTCTAGTGTTAATAAAAATACTGTGACTAAAAAATAAAGTGACTAAAAATACTGATGGGGTTGCAGCCCTTTGCAGCTTTTCAAAGAGTGCCCCTGATTTCTAGGGATAAAACCTTCAAATAGGGCTGACTGACTCTCATTTCTCCTTAATTCGTCAGTCTTTAAACAAGAATTTTACTTGAAAGTAAGTTCTTGAAGATGTTGAAGGATGCCGACTTTTTGAAATTACATGACCCTTTCTTGCTACCAAGTTAGATTCATATTATTCCTCTTGCTTTGCTGTCACTTAAAAAAACCCAAGAAGTTAGAGGTTTGTGTAAACCCTTTTGCTCTGTTGTGCAAGGTTTCCTTTATTATATTCAACTGTTATTTCCAGGTTTAGAAATGTGCGTCTCTAATGTAGAGCAAATCTTTTTGAGGGGAAAGTGTGCTTTAGGAGCTAATGATTGTAATCAAGGGATTGACAGATTGGGTTGTCTTTTGCAAAAGGCTACAACTTCCCACCAAGTGTGCCAGCCAGGTTGTTTTTCTCAGCCTTCCAAAAAGACTGTTTTCACTCAGTCTACCTTTGCAGCAATTGGCATGAGTTTTCAAAAAGGCTGAAAGATGCATCTGCCTTGAAATGGTGACGGAGGAGAGAGGTAGTTAGTTGTTTTAGGCTGAAGTCAGTCAAAAGGCAGGGTAGATATGCACCTTCATACAATAACTAATTAAGATCTATATAGAGTACATGGTTTTGTGAGCCCAAGTTCACTTTGTTTCTCGTGGCAGTCATGCAAGGTTATTTCCTTCTTCCTGGAAGTTGCAAGAGCAGCTAAAAATCAAAAACACACAAATGAGCAACCAAGATCCACCATTTTTCTGGAGCTTTGGGAGATGGATTGAGAGCCGCTTTTCCATCTGCTCCCTACCCTACGCTTACAAGTAGGGGACAGCTTGTTGGGAAGTGGTGTTTTAAAAGTTATCAGCAGGGAAGCTGTGCAAAGTCTCTGTTGCTTTTCAGCAGCATTTGCCCCAAGGTGCTTATCAATGTCACTCCATTTGTGGCAGTTCACCAGGCTTTGGAGAATCCCAGGCTGATCTTAGTGGAGGTGGGATGGCCAGGTAGTTTCCTGGGGTGCTGGGTGCTCTCGGGTTTTGGGGATAACTTGATAATATTTTATTGTCCATAATGGTAAATAAAGGGTCCCACAAAACAACTTATTTGGTTTTGCTCTGCTAGTTCACTCACTGGTTTACAAATGACTCATAAGAGGCAAAGGGAGAAAGCTGTAGTGAAAAACTTGTTTTTTCCATGTGTCTGGCTAATACAAGCAATATGGTTGTTGGTAGTGGGGGTGTGGACACAAATCCTTGTAGCCCTTTCAAAAAGGGCTCCAGCTGGTAGTTCTAATGGCTGTGTGTGAAGAAGCTGAGAACAATTCAAGTGCAGCAAACCCATTCCAACTTTGGTTGCTGCAAACAGCACGTGAACCTCCGAGAATGTCACTGCTTGGGAACTGGTTCGCAGCTGCCTAGGTCAAAGGTGTCATCACATGCACCACCAAGGGTCCTACATGGAACAATCGCCTTTTAGGCACTGGAGTGCTGTCAACTGACCAGGCTTGGGGGCATCCCAGGCTGATTGGCAGGGAGGAGGGGTGGGGGGCAGGTGGTTTCTTGGGGTGCTGGGTGCTTTGGAGAGCTGCCCAATGCCTCTGTGTCCATTGCCAAGAATGAAATGAGATTTCACCAGGGGTTTGGGGAAAAGTGCTGTTTAAAAGCCATGGAGACCTGGGGCAGCCTGCTGGAAATGCAGAAGCAGGGGGACCCCCTCTGTTCACCTGCCCCCATGCCCCTACCCCCCCGGCCAGATCAGGCTGGGATGCCCTGAAGTTTGGTTCTTTGACACCATTGGAATGAAACTAACAAGTGGTTTTTGGTGGGGGGATGGGGAGGGATATTTCCACCAAAAGCAGTAGAGGTACCCCCTCTACTCACCTGACCTGCTTCCTCCCCCCACGCCCCCAGCCTGGGGATGGCTGAGGGCTGGATCAAGTGCAGGCAATATAAGTTGGGGTAGTAGAGTTCTGGCTGCGTTATCAGAGTACCCAGGTGCCACGCAGGGGTTGGTGTGGTATCAGGGAGAGGGCATGAGGTGTGGTGCAGAAGGGACTGCCTGGAGGACCAGACACTAGTTATAGAAAGCTTGGTGTCTGCATATATTAGATTAGCATTAGTTCAAGAAGGGCCATTTCAAAATAATACCTGATTTTCCAGGTATACTTCTTGAAACATTTCAGGAGGTACAAATCATTCTAAATTGGCTTGTGTGTCTGAATACTTGTGGTTTAAAGAATGGTTGCATGTGTGGCTGTGGTTTAAAAGGTTTAAGGGTTATGTCTGTCAACATCTTTTAACACTTCTTCATCCAGGATTAAATCTGGAGCAAGTTTGCTGCATTTGAAATCTTTCTCACACAACAGTTGGACTATACCAGCCGTTCCCCTTTTTGAAAGGACTCCAAGCACTTGTGTCCTCACTTTGTGTTCTATAGTTATTCTTACCTGTCATATACTTTTGCAAGGAGCTGCATCCTGAGGTATTCAGAAAGGTTAAGTTGGTACCAAATGTGCTTGAGTTTATAGTATGCAAGTGTTAAATAGTAGGGGTGCACCGATAGAGATTTTGGGGGCTGATACCAATAGCTGATTTTTAAGGAGGCATATTGGCCAATACCAATCTGATTTCCAATATAGCATGGGGAGCTGTGCACAGCTGGTAAGTCTGTTGTGGTGGGAGGGAAAAGGCATGGAGGGACAGCTCAAGACCCCTGCAGTGAGGGAGGGAGTGGGTTTGTGACTGCACAGCCGGGCAGGGCAGCCGCGGGATGGAGCCATGGCTTGTCCGGGGGGTGTGGGGAGGTGGGGCTGGTTTCTACCACTGTGCGCACCCTGGAAGGGCATGGGGGTGGGGCAGAGGTGTGTGCCCCCATATCTGCATGGGGCATGGGCAGGGTGGGTTGCAGCTGTGGGCTGGGCCTGGGGCTGCGCTGAGCTCTTCCTGGTGGGGGGGGCTGGGCCTGGCTGCACTCAGGGTGGGTGGCAGCTGCCCTGGGAGAGGGCTACGGGGTGGGAGCTGCAGCCACCCAGAAATTCACTGAAGCCCCCCCATAACTCCTCAGCACCATTGCCACCCACCCCAAGCACAGCCCTGGTCCAACCCCCCCATGCGCTGGGAAGAGCCAGGCATCACCCCAGCCCCAGCCTGCAACGGGAGCCCCCCTGCCCCTGCAGATTGGGAGGCACATGCCTCCTCCATGCCCTCCTGGGCTGCGCACAGCAGTGGGAGCCACCTCCGGCTCCACGCCTGCCCCTACACCAATCCCTCCCTCACTGCAGGGGCCTTGATCTGTCCCCCCACCACACACCTTCCCTTGCCCCTCCTCTTCCACCACACCAGATTTACTAGCTGGACACCGCTCTCTAAGCCACCAGGCTGTGCTCGTGCTGCGCGCATGCACGGGCATTTATCGGCCAACTTTATCAGCCACATGAGGCTGATCTCTCCAGTACAATCAATTTCTTTATATCGGTGCTGATCCAATACTGGGCTGATGTATTAGTGCGCCTCTATTAAATAGGGCATAGTTTTCAGTGCTCTGAATTATCCTTGTTTC